GTTTGGTCATCAACCTAAAAACATTTTATCCAGAATCTGGTAAAACAAAGGGCCTTTTCTTGATAGCCAGAGGGCATTTGTGGCCAGCACTATTTTGCTGAGGTTATGTACAGCTGTATTTGGTTACAGGAACATTAGTTGAGTCCATAAAAAACAGCTGTATTTGAGATCACATCCGACTCTGTGGTAGCCAATCAGAAATCTTGCTGACAGGCAAACTTGTACAGAGCGAATGATCCTATTTAAATTAATTTGTCTTAATGTCTTATACAGGCCTACTTTCCTGGCATATCTTGGAGGGAGTAGGTCAGTTCCATTCAAAACATGGAGAGAGAAAAGTCAAGCTTGATTACTTGATAAAATATAAGACTATTCAGTCATACGGTCAGACTGTGGAGTGTTTAGTCCTTATACAATTAAGGCTGGTGGGCTCTACCCCAGCTTAGAGTTCAGCCAGGAGGCGCTCTGGAAATGAGTGGCCGGCCAGTGAGCAGTCTGGAGTACAGAGTTTTAGCTTTGGTTTCAGTTCTTCACTCTGCCCTTTAACAGGACATACCTATACTCTTTGCCATGAAACCTTGAAATGCCCTTGCAATCCCTGCCCCTGGGCTTTCATCTCTGGGATGTTCACCAGCACCCTACAGAGATCTGAGAATGTGCATACGCAGCTGGGTTCACTTGCTCTCCTGTCCCTGCCACTGACCTGAGAAGAATAGACCTGGGCTAGTCCACTGGAATGATGGGAGACACATAGAGTAAATGTGTGATACCCAGACAGCATCAGCACAGCTGCCCGGCCTGGCCTGGCTCAGCCAATTTACAGACCCAGGAGCAAAATCAATGCTTCTTGCTGCAGGCCAGTAAGATTTTGCAGCTTTTTGTAATGCAGAATAATTGTGGCCCTAGTTAGCTGAGGAAGTCTCTTAAGGATTATGTGCCTTGGGCCATCCCAATCTCTGCCTGTCTTTAACACCTCATTTATAAAATGAAGGGAGAAGTTGGAGGAACTCTAGGTCCTTTCTAAGGATAACTGAAGACCAGAAAACCTAGGCTGAAAAGTGCTCTAGACTAAAGAGTCTCAGGTTTATTCAAGAAGTTGAGGAGAACGCTCTGACTGGCACAGCGGGTAGGCAAACGTGCCTTTATCTCCAAGGCTACGGACATAAGCATGCCTGCAGCTATGGGAAAAATCAGGGATAGAAGGAAGAGCTATAAAACTCTGCTGCAGTATGTCTTGAGAGTTCCCCAACAAAAGCTGCTTTTTTATTGGTTTAAACCCAGACAAATAAGCAAGTCAGAGGGCAGGATTGGCGAAAATGGAAATTTTATTTTTAAGCACTAGTACATCTTCAGGCTGTTTTAAAAAGGAAAAATCATGTTACATTAGTTCAAAACTATGCTTCAAAGCATATTTGTTTAAACTCTAATTTTACAAACACATAATGAAACAAACATATATTTTATAAATATCTACTCAGAATATTATGAAAAAAAGTATTTAAAAATAACAACCCCAGATCTCCCTCTTTTAAATATATAAAATTCCAATACAATTCTTCAAGAGCCAAAAATTTCATTTCACAAAGGCCAACAACTCAATTCCCATCAGACACCATCAAAAGTAATAGGAATATAAAAAAATGTAAAAGTTCTGTACAAGGGAAATACAGATAGCACACGGGTAAATTGCATTACTATACATGCCATTTGTTTTTTAAAAATGTTTTATAAAAACTGCCTTTTAAAACAAATAAGTGAGAGTCCTTCCCTGACTGTTGAAAATATATAAATTATCACCTTCTCACTGGGGGAACAAGGCTCCCACCTACTGGAGTTGTGGGAGAAGTCTCCATGTGTTTGCTGATGAGGGGCCCAAGCCTCCCATGGGGACTTGCCTCCTCCTTGGCAGTGGCTTGTTCTAGTGATTGATTCACTATTATTTCCTTTTGCTTAGGAAAAACTCTTTGGGATCATAGAAGATAAGAGTTCACAAGTAAAAGCAAGACTAGGAGATGACTTCAAATAGTTGTATCCAATTAATACTATGTGTATTTTGTGGTTTTGGCAACCAAACTCCGGAAGCCTGATTTACCACTGTTGGAGACATACCCCATCCACCTACCCAGCAAAACGCATGGCACAGCCCCAAGGCCATCCCTTCATCCTTCTTCGAGTCCAAGCTGTTCTGCTGCCTGCAATTGTGTACGTAGACTATTGTCTCTTCTGACATTTCTTCTGGAAAGAGCTCTTCAAAAAAGTGCGGTACACAGGGTCATCCACGTACTCGTTCTTAAACCTGGAGCTCAGCACTCGTTGTCTCTTTCTCTCCCCTTGGATTATGTCTGCTCCATAAAATGTGTCTTCAAATCGCATGTCAGAGGCTGTGGACTAAAAGCAGCTGGTGTTACATCACGGAAGGGCATGAAATTTGGTCACTACAAGACTGGATAAAGATGTGAATCAGCTAGCTGGGGTAGGATGCAGAAGCCAGGATCACTAGCTCACAGCGTAAGAGTTTCACTCCTAGCTTTTCGTGTTCCCTTTCCTCTCCCCACTGCTTCAGTCTAGTAGGCAGAGGTGGCTCTGTTTAGCTTCACTTTCTCCAGGATTTCCAACCTATCCCCAACTGACCTCCTACCCCAAGGGACAGTCCCGAAACAAAAGCAGGCTTAAAGTCTTCTTTTATTTATTTTTTTAATTGCCAGAGGACACATGTGCTTGTGAGAATGAGAGAGAGAGAGAGAGAGAGAGAGAGAGAGAGAGAGAGCACGCGCGAGCACCCCTCAATGGAGCATGGTCATGTTGTAATCTCTTCTCCATTTCTCCATCATATCAGGATTGGGGGCACACAAGCACATGTGCCCAACATGTTCCTCAAGCCTCCAGGACCATGATTTGAATCAAGGTCAGTCATGTGAGATCTGGCTCCATTACCAGCAGCCTATGGGGACAACCCAGTCTTCTCCATTTAAATCTCTCTCACTGTTCATGTTCCCTCTGGCTCCTGCCCAGCCAGGTTTTTGACAAATTTATCAACAGTCATCTCCAATTCACCTTTATCCCTGTTGACCTCTGACTCTACCACTTTATTGAAACTGTTCTTGCTAAAATCCTACTGGCTAAATCCCATAACATTTTTCAGTCTTGAACTTGACTATTCTGCTACCTAACTACTATCTGAAGTTCTCTTCTCTAGTCTCTCGGTAAGCCCTCCTTTCTGCCACTCCTATTCTTTCTCCAGCTGGTCATCTGTCTGTGGTAGCCAATCAGAAATCTTGCTGACAGGCAAACTTGTACAGAGCGAATGATCCTATTTAAATTAATTTGTCTTAATGTCTTATACAGGCCTACTTTCCTGGCATATCTTGGAGGGAGTAGGTCAGTTCCATTCAAAACATGGAGAGAGAAAAGTCAAGCTTGCTTACTTGATAAAATATAAGACTATTCAGTCATACGGTCAGACTGTGGAGTGTTTAGTCCTTATACAATTAAGGCTGGTGGGCTCTACCCCAGCTTAGAGTTCAGCCAGGAGGCGCTCTGGAAATGAGTGGCCGGCCCGGGGGCAGTTCAGTTCTTCACTCTGCCCTTTAACAGGACATACCTATACTCTTTGCCATGAAACCTTGAAATGCCCTTGCAATCCCTGCCCCTGGGCTTTCATCTCTGGGATGTTCACCAGCACCCTACAGAGATCTGAGAATGTGCATACGCAGCTGGGTTCACTTGCTCTCCTGTCCCTGCCACTGACCTGAGAAGAATAGACCTGGGCTAGTCCACTGGAATGATGGGAGACACATAGAGTAAATGTGTGATACCCAGACAGCATCAGCACAGCTGCCCGGCCTGGCCTGGCTCAGCCAATTTACAGACCCAGGAGCAAAATCAATGCTTCTTGCTGCAGGCCAGTAAGATTTTGCAGCTTTTTGTAATGCAGAATAATTGTGGCCCTAGTTAGCTGAGGAAGTCTCTTAAGGATTATGTGCCTTGGGCCATCCCAATCTCTGCCTGTCTTTAACACCTCATTTATAAAATGAAGGGAGAAGTTGGAGGAACTCTAGGTCCTTTCTAAGGATAACTGAAGACCAGAAAACCTAGGCTGAAAAGTGCTCTAGACTAAAGAGTCTCAGGTTTATTCAAGAAGTTGAGGAGAACGCTCTGACTGGCACAGCGGGTAGGCAAACGTGCCTTTATCTCCAAGGCTACGGACATAAGCATGCCTGCAGCTATGGGAAAAATCAGGGATAGAAGGAAGAGCTATAAAACTCTGCTGCAGTATGTCTTGAGAGTTCCCCAACAAAAGCTGCTTTTTTATTGGTTTAAACCCAGACAAATAAGCAAGTCAGAGGGCAGGATTGGCGAAAATGGAAATTTTATTTTTAAGCACTAGTACATCTTCAGGCTGTTTTAAAAAGGAAAAATCATGTTACATTAGTTCAAAACTATGCTTCAAAGCATATTTGTTTAAACTCTAATTTTACAAACACATAATGAAACAAACATATATTTTATAAATATCTACTCAGAATATTATGAAAAAAAGTATTTAAAAATAACAACCCCAGATCTCCCTCTTTTAAATATATAAAATTCCAATACAATTCTTCAAGAGCCAAAAATTTCATTTCACAAAGGCCAACAACTCAATTCCCATCAGACACCATCAAAAGTAATAGGAATATAAAAAAATGTAAAAGTTCTGTACAAGGGAAATACAGATAGCACACGGGTAAATTGCATTACTATACATGCCATTTGTTTTTTAAAAATGTTTTATAAAAACTGCCTTTTAAAACAAATAAGTGAGAGTCCTTCCCTGACTGTTGAAAATATATAAATTATCACCTTCTCACTGGGGGAACAAGGCTCCCACCTACTGGAGTTGTGGGAGAAGTCTCCATGTGTTTGCTGATGAGGGGCCCAAGCCTCCCATGGGGACTTGCCTCCTCCTTGGCAGTGGCTTGTTCTAGTGATTGATTCACTATTATTTCCTTTTGCTTAGGAAAAACTCTTTGGGATCATAGAAGATAAGAGTTCACAAGTAAAAGCAAGACTAGGAGATGACTTCAAATAGTTGTATCCAATTAATACTATGTGTATTTTGTGGTTTTGGCAACCAAACTCCGGAAGCCTGATTTACCACTGTTGGAGACATACCCCATCCACCTACCCAGCAAAACGCATGGCACAGCCCCAAGGCCATCCCTTCATCCTTCTTCGAGTCCAAGCTGTTCTGCTGCCTGCAATTGTGTACGTAGACTATTGTCTCTTCTGACATTTCTTCTGGAAAGAGCTCTTCAAAAAAGTGCGGTACACAGGGTCATCCACGTACTCGTTCTTAAACCTGGAGCTCAGCACTCGTTGTCTCTTTCTCTCCCCTTGGATTATGTCTGCTCCATAAAATGTGTCTTCAAATCGCATGTCAGAGGCTGTGGACTAAAAGCAGCTGGTGTTACATCACGGAAGGGCATGAAATTTGGTCACTACAAGACTGGATAAAGATGTGAATCAGCTAGCTGGGGTAGGATGCAGAAGCCAGGATCACTAGCTCACAGCGTAAGAGTTTCACTCCTAGCTTTTCGTGTTCCCTTTCCTCTCCCCACTGCTTCAGTCTAGTAGGCAGAGGTGGCTCTGTTTAGCTTCACTTTCTCCAGGATTTCCAACCTATCCCCAACTGACCTCCTACCCCAAGGGACAGTCCCGAAACAAAAGCAGGCTTAAAGTCTTCTTTTATTTATTTTTTTAATTGCCAGAGGACACATGTGCTTGTGAGAATGAGAGAGAGAGAGAGAGAGAGAGAGAGAGAGAGAGAGAGCACGCGCGAGCACCCCTCAATGGAGCATGGTCATGTTGTAATCTCTTCTCCATTTCTCCATCATATCAGGATTGGGGGCACACAAGCACATGTGCCCAACATGTTCCTCAAGCCTCCAGGACCATGATTTGAATCAAGGTCAGTCATGTGAGATCTGGCTCCATTACCAGCAGCCTATGGGGACAACCCAGTCTTCTCCATTTAAATCTCTCTCACTGTTCATGTTCCCTCTGGCTCCTGCCCAGCCAGGTTTTTGACAAATTTATCAACAGTCATCTCCAATTCACCTTTATCCCTGTTGACCTCTGACTCTACCACTTTATTGAAACTGTTCTTGCTAAAATCCTACTGGCTAAATCCCATAACATTTTTCAGTCTTGAACTTGACTATTCTGCTACCTAACTACTATCTGAAGTTCTCTTCTCTAGTCTCTCGGTAAGCCCTCCTTTCTGCCACTCCTATTCTTTCTCCAGCTGGTCATCTGTGATGTCTCAAGGGTTCTCTTTCTTCACTATCTACTCACTTCTAATGTCCCCAGCGTTTTGAATTGGGCCTTATCGTCTCCACATGTGCTCCTTGGGCCTTGGCTCTTATACTCATCTCTTCAAGCATCTACACAAGAATGCTCACATCTCTGGCTCCAGTCCAGATCTCTAGTGCTTAAGCCTGCATGACGCCTGCCCAAGGGGTGTCTCAGTGTTTGTCTCAAGCACTTCAAATAGGCCCATCCTAAACTGAACTCAAAGCCTGCCTTCTCTGTCACCATCCTTCCCATATTCTACAAATGGTACCACCGGCCCCACCCATCCAGTCAGAGACCTAAGACACTTAGACTTCCCCTCCTCCCTGTCCTGTCCAGTTCTCACCTAGATGAACCTGGAAGCCCTCCATTTTCTTCCCTGTCACTACATACTCCATGGTGCAGGCCTCATGCTTCCTCTGCCAAACCACAGCAACAAATGTGGCAGCCCCACTCTGTTTCCCACAGAACTGCTAGAAGAAAGATGCCAAAAAAACTCTCTTATGACTAAAATGTCTATTTATAACTACATGCCCTGTTTATAGTCCTTCAGTCACTTTACTGCATTCAACATGACACACTCCTGGGCTGGACTGATGTAACCCAGCCTAATCTGGCCCATACTCTGGTCGGATCACACTCACAGGGCCTCATGCTTCTCTGTGTGCCTGTGCACACTATTTCCTTTCCATGATGATATGAAAGCTCTTCCCTGCCACAGGCAAAGGTGAGGGCCCTTTTTGGGGGTCCTTGTAACCCTATGCACATCAGTGCAGAATGAGGAGTGGCAAAGATAAGGGGCAGGTAAATTTCTCCCCAGTGGGGGAATCTCATGATAGTGAGGATATTAGAGACCATGTACCTAACTTTTTATGTTTTGAAGACCAAGAAATATTCACAGCACTCACTCAGTGTAACTGCTGGCTATGTGAAGGCAAGTGGGTGTTTTTCTCTGTGATACTCAGGTAGAGCCTGAAGTATACAATTAAGCACTATTTTTGCTTCCTAATTTCTTGCTACTTTGCCTTCTAAAAAGCATCTCCAGCTGATTTTCACTGAGATAGATGACTTCTGATGATACCAACACACAGTGCATTTCACCCTTCACAGAGCCCACCTTTCCCTAGTTGAAGACAGAGGAAGAGTTCAGCTTTTAAGACTTAAAAACTTGGGACCAGCAGTTAGCATAATGGCTATGTTGCTGGACTCCCACATAGTCGACCATGGTTCGAGTTCTGGACCTGGTGGCTTAAACTCATGCTGAGCGCGTGTGCATGTGTGCCCAAGATCCCGAGAGCAGGAGGAGAAGGGATTGTGGTGTGGCCATCCTCCCTGGGGGGTGATTTCTCACTTTCTGTCTGTCTCTCTCTGTCTGTCTGGCGAGCGCACACAACCTATAGCAAAAAAACCTCTCCAAAAAAAAAAAAAAAAGATTTAAAAACTCCAGCTGATTTTCACTGAGATAGATGACTTCTGATGATACCAACACACAGTGCATTTCACCCTTCACAGAGCCCACCTTTCCCTAGTTGAAGACAGAGGAAGAGTTCAGCTTTTAAGACTTAAAAACTTGGGACCAGCAGTTAGCATAATGGCTATGTTGCTGGACTCCCACATAGTCGACCATGGTTCGAGTTCTGGACCTGGTGGCTTAAACTCATGCTGAGCGCGTGTGCATGTGTGCCCAAGATCCCGAGAGCAGGAGGAGAAGGGATTGTGGTGTGGCCATCCTCCCTGGGGGGTGATTTCTCACTTTCTGTCTGTCTCTCTCTGTCTGTCTGGCGAGCGCACACAACCTATAGCAAAAAAACCTCTCCAAAAAAAAAAAAAAGACTTAAAAACTCATGGTCCATTGTGGAGAAAATAAACGGAAGAGCTATAAAGAAGCCTAAAAACTAAAAATGGAGCAAAGCTACACATATTCCCTGCCCATTCATGAGATGGCTGTCCCGGGTACCAGGCTCCCTTCATGGCTCCACCACACCACCAGGCTTCACTCAGGAAGGAAACTGAGAGACTGTGGGCTGGTCGGGTGCCTTGTGCTGTTAGGAGAAAACACTTTCCTTCATTCATTCTTGGCAAATACTTCCTCTGAGTAATCTTTCACTTTTATAAGTACTGAAGTTATCAAAGGAGAAAATAAAACATCTATGAAAGTGTTGCCACTGTGCGGGAACAGCAAAAGTCGGTCTCTCAAATACAATAATAAAACCAATTTACCAGGCGCTCTAGCTAATTATGCACTGTTGCTATGGTTATTCTGAGAGACAATAAAAGGTAATGGGGCCATCTCTGAAGTGAGTGGAAAGAACCCGGCACAATCACTGAGGTGGACTGCTGACTCTTTTGAAAAATTTCTCCCCCAGTCAGCATGTGTCCGTGTGAGCCGGAGTCATTAAAAACATGAAGGCTTCCTGATGAGAGCTGCTAACTTACCTCCTTAAAAGACAAACAAACAATTCTCAAACCATAAAATATCCTCCATCAATGCATTTTCCAATTACATTTGTTTCATCAACTAGAAAAAAAAAAAATCAGCAGTCATGGTCCGACTAACCAAGGGACAGAGGGTTACGTACCAACCTGAAGGGAGAGAAGGTTAGCCTAAAGCACTTAAGCTTGAATTCAACAACTGAGGTGGCAAACTGGATTTAGTGACTAGGAGCGTTTGTTCTTGAAAGATATTATCTACCAAAGTCGCCTGTTTGGCATAAGAGCTAGCACTCAGAGCCCATGTATGTGACCTATTTGTCTTTACTTTTTTTAAGATTAAAAAAAAAAACTTTCTCGGGAACCAGCAGTTAGCGTAATGGCTATGTCGCTGGACTCCCACGTAGTCGACCGCGGTTCGTGTCCCGGACCCGGTGGCTTAAAACTCACGCCGGGCGCGTGTGCGTGCGTGCCCAAGATCCCGAGAGGAGAATGGAGGAGAAGGGATTGCGGCGTGACCATCCCCCCTGGGGGGTGATTTCTCGCTTTCTGTCTCTATGTCTCTCTCTGTCTGGCAAGCGCATGCGCCCTACAGTGAAAATCTCTCCAAAAAAAAAAAAAAAAAAAACTTTCTCTGGGAATTAAGAAAAAAAAAGTTGAATGTCGTGTTTACTCAGGGAAACAGACTTCAGAAAACTCAGGGGCTACTTTCAGATAAAGACACATGGGAAGGCTTCCTAGTATCAGAACCAAATCTATTGCACAACAAAGAGTGTGATCAGAATAGAAAGCAAAGGGCTTTCTTTGAATGCGATTAAGATACAGTATTTGAAATCTACAAGACTCAGTTGGTAGGATGCTTAGCTATACATGGATTAGAAACCAAAGACCTAAGAGATTTCCGGAAGGCTCCCTATTCCATTCCCTGTCCTCTAAATCTCTAGGTACTTGAAAAAAGGAAAAGAAAGAGAAGGGAGAGGAGAAGGGAGAATTTATGAAGATAACAATATAAAATGATAAGTGCCCACCTCTAATATCTTGAAAAGGAACATTTTTAAGATCTTAGAACATGGACAAGTTACTTAGGTTTTATGGCTCTTTGTTAAAACTCAGCTGATATCTTCACAATAAGAATATATAATTTTCTCTTCAGGAGGTTTATCTGCAGGTGTATGGCTTCTCAAGGGAGAATTTATGAAGATAGCAATATAAAATGATAAGTGCCCACCTCTAATATCTTGAAAAGGAACATTTTTAAGATCTTAGAACATGGACAAGTTACTTAGGTTTTATGGCTCTTTGTTAAAACTCAGCTGATATCTTCACAATAAGAATATATAATTTTCTCTTCAGGAGGTTTATCTGCAGGTGTATGGCTTCTCCCACATGCCATATTTCTTTTTTCCTCTCTCTCTCTTTTTCTTTTAAAGAGAGAGATTTTTGCTATAGGGCGCATGCACTCGCCAGAGACACAGAAAGAAAGTGAGAAATCGCTCCCACCAGGGAGGATGGCCACACTGCAATCCCTCTCTTCTATTTTCCTCTCAGGATTTTAGGCACACACACACGTGCCCAGCCTGAGTTTTAAGATGAGGGTTTGAGACTGGAATTGTGATCAACTACGCAGGAGAGTTCAGTGACGTAATCATTACACCATCTGCTCGTGCCAATACTACATTTCTTACTCTGTACGTAGCAGAAACTACTATCATTCTTTTCATGGCTCTTCTGCTCTGAAGAAAGTGAGTTCACACCTGACACAGTCACCCTCTTTGCAGGTCCCACCTAATAAGAGAGGAGCTGGGGACCAGCAGTTGGCATATTGGCTATGTCGCTGGACTCCCATATGGTCGACCACAGTTCAAGTACTGGACCTGGTGGCTTAAACTCACGCTGAGCATGTGTGCGTGCGTGCCCAAGATCCCAAGAGGAGAATGGAGGAGAAAGGATTGCAGCATGGCCATTCCCCCGGGGGGTGATTTCTCACTTTCTGTCTCTCTGTCTCTCTCTCTCTGTCTTTCTGGCGAGTGCACGTGCCCTATAGCAAAAATCTCTCAAAAAAAAAGCTGAACATATAACTGACCATTTAAAGTAACCTACTATATAAACAGTAGACAATCTATAATACACTTCAAAAAGGATATTATAAGCATGCACTGAAAACTGAGTCTGACATTTATTCAGAAAAAATTCATTTTAGTCAGAAAAAATATCCCATTCATTCCAATTTCCCTTTTCAGAAATTATTTCATGGATGCACTAGATGTAATTCTAAATGAGTAAAACTAACCTCCTTCCAGGATCTACTAAATATATTTTGTACCATAAAATATGAAATCTAAATATTTGTGAATTATAAATTCACAAATATTATTTGTGCATGTGTATTTAACTTTTAAAGGTATATACGGAGATTAAAATTAATATTTTCTTTTTTTAAAAGCTGCTCTGTATTCCCAAAATTAGTATCATCCTTTCTATTGTGAACTTAAACAAACACTAGGGAATCTGCTGACACAGAAGTTAATAACAGAAGGCAAGAGGAACTACGCATTCACTTGCGGTGATTCCCCTTTAATCTACTACTCAATTCTAACTTACAATGTTGCATCTACTAACAAGATTGCAAAAAACCTTGCCCACATCTTTCTATGCTTTCAGTGCTTTGCACAGAGCACATATTCAATAACTATTTTTTGTACGTGAATAAATGTTAACACAAAGAAATGCCATTTGACCTCATTAGAAGAGAAATAAGGTGTGTGCATTAATTTCTCTATTTGGGGGCCAAACTTGAGGTTTGCACTCAGTAGGTTTCACCACAGGGAAAGTTGCACTGGCTTTCTTCAAAATTAATCCAAAGGCACAAGCATATTCCCCACTGATTTGGGAAGCACAGGGAGAAGGCAAGGAATGCACCTGGCACCCCAAGTGGCACATGCCAGCACTTACATATCGGGCTTTCACCCTCTTGGGTAACTCTTCATCTAAGGTGTAGATGTCTTCTCTCTTCATTGCTATCTGGGATCCATCTTCGAATTCAACCTAATGAGAAATAAGGCACGGTGATATATATTAAAAAAAAAAAAACAAGTGTGGATCATTTTTCACAGGCTCCACCTAACTAAAAATGATAGAACTCGAACAGAACAAACAAGGAAACCAGCCAGCACCCAAAAAAGAAAAAATTCTTTTCCTTATTAAAGAACAAAATACATCTAAAAACAGGCCTACAATTCTTCACAATGAGTGTCTTGGAGTACGTGATATGAAAACTATCACTCCAATACAAAAAGAAAAGCAGCTGCTGACACAATGATTTCTCAGAATGAGATTGTAGCAAATTTAACATTAAGACAGGCTGGGCCAGTTAGCGCTATTTCTTTTCTTTTTTTTAAATTAGTTTTTCACTATAGGGCACAGGCACTTGGAAGAAATAGAAAGAGAGAGAGAAAGTACAAAATCACTCCCCCGGCGGAGGAATGGTCATGCTACAATCCCTTTTCTTCTAGTCTCCTCTTAGGATCTAAGTGAACATGCACATGGTGTGATTTTTAAGGTGCAGGGTTTGGGTCCCAAACAGCACAGTCAGTCCTGTGGACTCCAGCACCTTAACCCTCATACAACCTGCTAGTCCAGCACCATTTTTCTCTCTCTTTCTTTTTAAAGGTTTTTACTACATTATGCACAAGCTCAATAGAGAGAGGCAGGCAGTGAAAAAGAAAGTAAGTAATCACTCGCAGGAGGGATGGTCAAGCTGCAATCCGTTCTCTTCCATTCTCCTCTTGGGATCGTGAATACACATGCTCATGCACCCAGCATGATTTTCAAGTCCCAGGTCTGGGACTCAAACCATGGTTGGCCATGTGGAAGTCCAGTGCCTTAACCACTACACCACCTACTGGTACCCCTAGAACCATTTCTTTAAGATACTCCAGCACCGGAACAGATAGCACTGTTCCTGTTGTGAAAAACAAAATGAGGTATTTACTCTTTTATAATAATCCTTCTAGATAAAATAATTTCTCACCTTTTTACGACGTTTTAACCTTCAAAGCTCACTTTTTAAAATTCAGTTAAAGAAGCAAGGGAAATCTTGGTTTCTCAACTTCATAAAATGTAAAGCTCTCTGGGGCCAGCAGGTGGCACAGCAGTTAAGGTACTGGACTCTCACATGACTCACCATGATTCGAGTCTCAGAACCGGTAGCTTGGAAATCATGCTGGGCATGTGTGCATGTGTGCCCAAGGTGGCAGGAGTAGAATGGTGAAAAAGAAATTGTGGCCTGGCCATTTCCATTAGAGGGTGATGTTTCACTTTTCCTCTCTCTCTCTGACAAGCGCACACACCCTACGACAAAAACCTTAAAAAACAAAACAAACAAACAAGAAAACGAAAACAAAAGCAACTCTTTAATGTGTAAAAATGCACTGTAGTTTAAAATTTTCTCATGTTCCCCTTCCTTCCTCTTGGGAGCTCTGTTTTTCCTTCCCTCTCCTTCAATAAACTCCCCATTTTGCTATACTTAAAAAAAAAAAAAATCATGTTAACCAAATGACAGCAAATAATTTGAAAAATCAATTTTTCAACATTTTAGGAGGAGAAAAGGTCAATGACACTGGCTAACAGAAATCTATAGCTTCTGGGTTCTGGCTTAAGCCAACATAAACTCTTCTATGAGATAATAAGGATACAATCATAAAATAACACAAATATGCTCTAATTCTGAGCTACTTAGGATATTTAAGTCTTTGACTTTTCTGTTTGTCTGAATGTTTTACTTTTAAGAAATGGAAATATTCTTATACTTCTAGTCAAAAAAATTTTTAAAAAACTGTTTGAAAAGCAAGTTAAAAGAAAGATAAAATATATAATTAAACGTCTTATCCAAGTATTGATAATATTTTACTAAGTTTTGGGGTGGAATTAGGAGGAGTCATAGGAGCACTATTGCTAGCCCCGCCTAGAAGGCTGCGGATGGGAAAGGTTTCCTTCTCAGTCTTGTTAAACAGAATAGTTTCCTTAATATCTAATTAGACCAAGGTAGCAACTCATTTATACAATTTGCTAGAGCAGCTAGAACTAACCTGTGCTTATTTTCTTTAGTTTTAGATCATTTGAAAATTCTAAAAGATAATATAAAAGAAGGAGTATAGCACACTAGCATTAGAGAGACCAACATCTTGATTTGCCTAGGTCTCCTGGGATACAAAATTTTCAGTACTAAAACCAGGGACAGTCCCAGCAAGTAGGTATGGTTGTTAACTGTAGTTGGAACAAAGATTAAAGTAAATTCTGATCCTTCTCCTTATGTTCTTGAACAAATTATTAAACATTTGTTCTTTTTATTAAAAATTATTTCAAATTTGTTCATTAAATCTTTTCCTCCTAATTTGTAAAATATAAGTCAATAATACCTACTTTTTTTAAAGGTCTGCTACAAGGGTCAAATATTATATATACTTAGGATATTTAGCACAGGGCAGAAGGTTTTTAAGTTACAGCTTTTTTGTAAATGTCTGCTTATTCAATGGTGAAGTTCAATAATTAGACACAAAACACAGAAGGATCTCAAAAGGCCACTTGGTTTAATGAGTCATTTTAAACTACTTGTACTTGAGAGACAATTTTAATATAAGCCTTAACTTCTTTGAGTCTATAAATATGCCCATAGTTTTACGTTGATAGGCCATCATAAATTCAACTGAAGTTAACACACTGATTACTAATTAGTCTGAATTTCAACATGTCCTCATTCCATGCTACTTCTCATGTAGCAAACAGCTTTGCTACATGTAAGAAACTTGACATTGGGGTTTATTGTTTATTTAATTGTAATTATTTTATTTGGAAGATGTAGCAATACTTCTTTTCCAGGAGACTCAGTATTATCAGTCTGTCTTGTGATTTCTGCCTAATTCTCAACATCCTGATGCAAAGAAGCTTGAGCACCTACCCCGTTGTATATAACCTGAACCTGCCACATAACAGTCACCCACAGCGTGTGCAAAGGGGAGATGGCCTTCACACACACATGCTCAAGGTAAATGTTTAGACTCTCCCCTCCTCCACACTTTCCTGGGGTTTTTCTAGACCATGCAAAATGTTCTTTCCTAAGTTTTTCAAACTTCTTTGAACACCTTTAATTACGTTGTGCTCCAGTTTCTGATGCAGTGTCTTATAATGCACTCTTCCATTTAAGCCCTTGCCCCTTATCAGTCTCTGAACAATTTCTCTGCGAAACTGGCAGTCTTATCATCCCCAAGCTGTTTTCAACTTAACAGGCCTGAACCTTCTTGCTATTTTCTACTTTTATTTCAATCTTCCTGGTTTTTTTTTTTTTCTATACTGTTTAGTCTGAGAATGTTGATTTCTCCCACAGTGTTACTGAAAATGCTTCTTGCAGAATTTCTGAAGGAAGATAAATGCACTTGTGTCATCCAGGTTGTTTCCCTTACTAGAGCTTAACTCGTTCTCATTTCTGGTAAGAACACAAAATTTCATTTTTTAAAATTATATACGTAGACTTCAGTACTATGTAGTATTCCCTAGTGAACAGAAATATCCAACTGACAGTTGTACTTTTCATTAAACAAGCACTCCTTTAAAATGGGAGCTCACTGTGACATAACTAACCACATCTATGTCAAGGCTGCATTGGTTTTGCTTTGCTGAGACACCCAGTAGGATTTTTTCTCCCAGGCAAAGGCCACCAATTTGGGGGCTGCTGGCTGATGAATAGCCATCACTGTTTTGGGTTAAGGTGAGATGAACCAGTCAATTAGTCTCTCCCCATAAAACATAGAGGCAGGAAAACAGTCTACTATCAAGTGCTTATCTTTTTGGTGTAACTATCTTTTTAATAATTAAACCATTCATCAAATGCTGTCAGGTTTCCTTGTCCAACTTGATAATAAAACTCCAGAGTTTCATTCAGAGGTCATTAGCTATTGAGAATCTTCATAACGTAAGAGGCACTCTGAGGTCATGCGGCCTATTGCTCAGCAGCACACTTGATATACTATCTCCTTCTGACTTTGCAGGCCCTTGTCAGAAAATATCATAAAGCAGCACCCACCTGGTACATGTGAGCAATATTCGACCCAAGATATTTTGCCCCGTAGAGTATGCCATCAGGCCACTTGACTTGGACAACTTCTCCTTCGGCAGGAGGACCCAGCTTCACACAGTCTCGACTCTGCGGAATAAACAAGAGACAGGCTTTTCAAGGCGAGTGCCTAAGTGACTGCATTTAGAACTTAGCAAATGATGAACTCCTGGCAATTAAAAGGAGTTATTGCCTCTGTGTTTTATGGATTATGATCTCGCATGGGTGTTCAGGGGAAGAGATATGAGCCAAAGGAGTACTTAAAGATTCAGCCTACATCATAAAGTTGCAAAGGAACTACCATAATCCAAGCAGGAAATAACAGCAGCATTTACATTTGCTATTTGATGAAGAATTTTTCAAGGGGTAACTAAAATATGCATAGAAACTGCTTTTGCTGAGAAATAGACCAGCTAATGATTTATAGCACCTGACATTTATATAGGATTCTAAAGTTAGCAAAATGCTTTAGCATACATCTCATTTAATCCTTATAATCACTCCATCATGTAGGCAGGGATTATTAATTATCCCCACCTTACCAACAAGGAAACTGAGCCTCCTAGGAGGCTCCTTGATGTTGTCACGATCTCTGGAGGAGTGAAACTGAGTGCAAGAATGAGAGCTGAAGACACCCAGGTGGGCATGGGGGTGGGGGCTTGCACAGAGATCGGAGCTGGTAGGACTTGCCCAAACAGCAGGAGAAAGAACAGCAGACATCTACTGCATGGCAGGTGAAGCTGGGTGGGTTGTATCCTGCTTAGCATACCTCCTCTGAAGACCCTGGACCTTCCCCCAACAGGACACTTCTGCTAGCATCCCACCATTAAATCACCAGTCCACCCTCTCCCACAGGTCATCCTGGTGGCACTATAACCAGAGTCTTCTCACTTTAGGTTTTCTGTTTCACACCACCACCTAAGGCATTAACTCAGAGTCAACTTTACAGGTAGATTATCCTAGAGGTGCTCTTTCCTTTAAGGCAGAGAGGGAAAGGGGTATAGGTAAAAAAGTAAAATATTTTCACAGTCTAAGGGTTTGCCAAATCTTAAATGTGTATGTATTTAGTATGGCATAATATGACATTAATACAAAAGAATTATATACTTGACTACTCTGGTAATTTGGGGGGGGGCGCATTTAGCAATTCATGATTTGCTAATACTGGTATTTTACTGATGAGGCAAATGTGAATGATAGAAATGCACACTTGACCAATCAAGCTATAAATGCAGACTGGGCACACTCTGTGATTTAAATGAGAGAAACACACAGGAAACATTTAATTGTTTACAACTAGAAATGCACCATGTATTCTTATTATTAATAAAAATTCTGCCTTATAAAGGAGTGGCCATTTTATTGTTGAGTTAGGAATGTACATGAAAGGCCCAGCTGCTCATTTTTCTAACTGTGGACTATGCTTTCATTTAGAGCTACAGGCAAAACAATCAAAATATAAACTGTGCTCAGAGGCTCCTCTGTAGAACTGACGGTCTGTATCTAACTTAGTCAAATGAAAGTAAGTTTATTCTTGGCCTTTACAATATGCGGCCTGCGGGCATGCAGAATTGAAATGGCAGGCTGCAGAAAAATATTCTATGTATGCTCATGGGTTATCTATCACCTCACTTTCTGTTTCCTTTCCCAAGATTTACATGGTACTAAGAATCCTGAAAGTCATGATTTCTAAGTTTCTACTGGATATATGGTGGGCCCAATCTCCTAGGTTAGGAAGTCATCATCCTGGGATTACTCTGGGCTGAAACCAGTCCTAGTAATTTTAGGGGGTGGGGAGGTGGAATATACATCTTCCCTCTGCTAAAGCTTCCTTCCATATGGAGGGAGCTCCTCTGAGGCACTGTTCTGGCATTCCTCACTGCCTCTGGCCTCTTTCAAGAAATCTTAGTCCCCAAACTATGTGCCATGGAACCCTGGGGCACCACAGGAATACTTTCAGGGAAAAAACAGTACATTTGTGAGATGCCCATTTACTAATCTGGTAAATTGTTTGGATCTTACTTAACAGAGAGAACTGTTGGGTATTTCTTTCGGTCTATGGGCATTGTAAAAAATGAGATACTAAGGACAATTATAAGCCAAGAGGGTTTAGTGACCCCTGGCTAAGTCCCATACCTTCCCTATCTCTTTTGAGACGAACATGCACCTTCCACGCAGAGGCCTGCAGTTTCCTGCACCACCAGGCACTAGGAAAGCCTGTCTAATTCCAAGGTCTATTAGGAGACCTGTGTACCCACACCTATAAGCCACACTCTCCATTATCTGCTCTCTGAGTAATAAAGGCGTTATTTTTAATCCCCAAATCCTGACTCCTTTGTCTCTCCCTATTGCTCTTCCTTGGACAGAATGTGCAGTGCTATTTTGAGGCCCTTCTTGAAACCTAACTGAGCCAAGTTAAGGTCTCAGCAAATATAGGGGCCTATACTACCCACTTACTTACTACCACCGAACCACCTCCCAGGGAGGGTGAAGACATTCCCTTACTGGGACCAGCAGTGGTCTATGGGCATTGTAAAAAATGAGATACTAAGGACAATTATAAGCCAAGAGAGTTTAGTGACCCCGGGCTCAGTCCCGTACCAGGGGCTGGTGGTACCCATAGGCATGGTGGTTAAGGCACTGCACTTCCACATGTCCAAACACAGTTCAAGTCTCAAACTTCGTGGCTTACTCTCTCACTTTCTGTCCCTCTCTCTCTCTCTAGTGAATACACATGCCCTATTGCAAAAATTAAAATAACAATAATTAATAAATAAAATTACTATTTTAAAAAAGACACCACTTTCTTACAACATAGGTACTTAATTTTATAAATTCAACCTTCCACAAAAGCTTATTGACCTTTAAATATAACCCCCCAAATAAATCCTGGCCTACTATTTTAGATACCATATAATCAGCAAGAAGTAATGACCATAGAAACATGGCTTAGACAAGTATAACATACACTGAGCAATCTATAAAAATATAGCTTTATTAATAAAAAACATGTACAAACTTTACCAGGTGACAAGCAATTTTTAAAAAAAAAAAGTTTTTGAAAAGTAAATATCTGAGATACAGATGTCTGTTTTAGTCATCATTAATTAATCCTTTACTCATTTTTTTTAAGTAAGGTATATTATCCTCTTTTTGGTAAAGAATTATTTTGTATAATTTTATTTTAATTTGACCAGAGAGGGACAGAGACAGAAAATGAGAAAGCAAGCTGCCAGGTCCGAGACTCCAACCATGGTCAGCCATGTGAGAGTCCACAGCCCTTAACCACCATGCCACCTGCCAGTCCCTAATCCTTTACTCGTAACAAATCTTAATTTGGCATCAAAATTATCTGACCTCATATAACTCTTTCCAGCTCACCCTTCACCTAACCTTGCTTTATCAGTCACAAAGAACAAATTCATAACCTTTCATGTTAAATTCTAGGGAAGACACTCTAGTTTACTTTTCCAATCTTTTTAAAATTTATTTTTAAATTTTATTTATAATAATATATTTTTTTAATTTGCTGAAGGGCACATGTGCTCACCAGAGAGAGAGAGAGAGAGAGAAAGGAAAAGAGAAAGTAAGCCACCAGGTCTAGGACTCAAACCACAGTCAGTCATGTGGGAGTCCAGAATCCCAACCACTACACCACCTGCTGGCCCCAGTTTTCTCAATATTCTTGCTTTAAGAACTCTTTATTTATTCATAACAAAAGAGGAAAAATAACCAACCAACTGCATAACAAGATAAATTGTTCTGTGATTCTCCCACCTCCACAACCAAGAGGCATTATTCTTTGCCAAGGCAGCTGACTTCTCACCCTTTACCAGGCCACTTACTGGAAGTGAATAGACTCTGATTTGAATATAACTTTTTGTATAATTCACTATTTATTCCCCCCAGCTACTTCTGAATGGATTAAAGCAGCCCATAGTAAAACACAGAAGCGCTTATAGAAGTACCGCCTACTTCCCTTGATAAAGAAATGTGCCAGTTCACCAGCTGCCTCACATCTTGAGTTTGCCAGCATGATTTGGGGTATAAAGCATTCAAACAGGAATGAAGCTAAGGGTGCACGGGCTACTGAAAACATGTTGAAAGGTTTAATATGTAGGCTTCCTTGATCCTTCCAAAGCAGAATTTGCTGGGTGTCTCCAAAATGGTCCCAATCGCTAATTCGACACCTATTTTACTGACCACCTATTTACTCACACACCTACTGGGAGACACTAGGAGGCAATAATGCTCTCCACCCTCAAAAAAAGGTTTCTATTAAAAATAAAAGATCTGAAAAAAATTTAAATAAATAAAATGGATTTACTTTGTGGAAAGCAACAGGTTGAATGATCCGTCCTCTCTCTCAAAGGCCTCCAGCTGGCTGTGCGTGAGGAAGCAGACACTACGGCACAGCTTCTCTGAGTGTGATCCCACACTGAAGCACACAGGAGAGATGAAATTCCAGGCCCCCCAGAGCTCTCATGACTTGGGTTTTACTTTGTATTTTTAAGCACTTCAGAATTTAAGATGGATTGTATTAAAGGATATAAAATGCTAAAAAGGTCTTTCCTAATGCACTTCTTAGTGTGTTTTTGGAGCAAGTAAACACCTTTGCTGACAAATTATATGCATTAAAACCTTGACTAATGCATTTTCCTTAGTTGCTGTCTAGACCCTCTGAAGTGGTCTGCATTCACCTGGCACAAATAGCTGTCTGGCATTTGCGGTACTGCCTCCAGGGATGTGTAAACTTGCCTAAAAGCTACCAGAGCCTTGGTGTCTGGGAGCTGCCAGGAAGCCGGTGGCTAGAGTGCTAAGTAGATGATGTGAAAATTAAAGACAGAAATAGCACTCACAGTCAAGAACGGAGTTTTGGCTATGATCAATTACTTAAAAGACTAAGAAGAGTCCTCGACACAGGCAAGAAGACTGTGAAAAGCACATTCCTACCACAGTCAGGGCCAATCTCCTTTACTTGCTCCACTAACTAAAGAGAAAAGTCCAAGTGCCTTTCTGGTTACAGATGGTCCCCAGCATACTGTGGTCTGACATGATTTTTTGACTTCTTGACAGTGCATGCAACAGAA